TTTGCAATGCACTATAATAAATATGATGATGGTAACATTAAACATTATTTGTTTTGGTGAGGAAAGAGAAATGTATGTGTTATGAAACAGGTTGCCCAGAGAGGTTGTGGATGCCTCATCACTGGAAGTGTTCAAGGCCAGGTTGGATGGGGCTTTGAGAAACCTGATCCAGTGGAAGGTGTCCCTGCCCATGACGGGGGGGTTGGACTAGGTGATCTTGAAGTTTCCTTCCAACTCAAACGATCCTATATTCTGTGATAAAAGAATATGGAAAATTGTGCATGATATGTGTATTTATGTAGCCATGGAGATTAATCTAGTTGTGAGGCAACAGTTGTACAGCCTTTATGTTTGTTTGTGTCAGATATTTCAAAAACATTACTTACTGAACTTAGTTGATGGGATAGTTTGCCTCTGGTAACTTAGAACTGAACAATGAAAGTTGTTATTAAATGGTCCCTGGTGTCTGGTTTTCCAGAATCTCTGAGCTCTCATTTTTTTAATCAAGAAATAGATAGAAAAAACTGTGATAGAACATTGGATGAGAACTTTCCTCAAATGTTTGGAAAACATACACTGAATATCATTTCCTAAATATCATTCTCTGTCCAGCCACTATAGCTGAACACTTTTAATTTATATATAACTTCTTTTTGACAGAAATAGTCAGAAGAAGCCCTGACTATTTCAAGTGAACCTGTAAGCAAAAAAAAAGTCTCTGATTGTATACAGAAATCAGTTGCGATACAATTTATGCTGGAAAAGTTTGTAGACTTAACTGTTCAAAATTATAGTAAGAGTGAAAATTCAGAATAACTTAAAATTGTATTATATTTGTTTTCCTTCACAGCATAATGATACTACACACAATAGACATGCTTAAAAATAAAATAATACTGTTAAGTAGTGACAGTGTTGGGAATCTGTGCTTAATCGGTGAGCTCCAAGCTCTTCCACTTTTAGAAATTATTGCTGCTGCTAATACTCAATAAAAACTTAAAAATGTGCCTTAAAACAGTGTTTTTAAATTGATACTTTTGATGCCAAGTCCTTAAACAGAAGTAATTTTAAAGTGTGGTCACCTCTCTTTATTATCTGTGAGACTATAAGATCTCAGAGTTTAGTTCCATGGTAGTGACTATTGTTTGCTAAAGCGTGAAATTCAGAGCTCTAAGATAGGAAATCCAGGGCCACTGCAGGCTTTATTTGCATTGCTACATTCTGTTTCCAAAAGTTCAGCTACATCTCAGTCATTGAATTTGTGGCAGGGAAGAGTCCCTGTTTTTTTTTAAAAAAAAAAGTAAATGTAGTTGGTTTTAATTATTTATTATTAACAGAACTATTTTTTCTTTAAAAAAAACTATTGATCAAAGATACTGTACATCTCATTCTTACAAGGACTTTAGAAAAGATTACTTAAACATATCCTCTCTACACTTTTTCATGAATAGTATGTCTGATCATTTTCTACCAGTTCTTTCTGAAATACCTCACTATTAGAATCATTAATGCATTTTTATGGCTGATCTTGTGGATGGACCTGCTGTCAGAAGAGTACTGTAATATTAAAGTTAAGTGATGTGATTTGATTCCTTTGATTCCTGTTATTCTTCCAGTAGATGGTAGTGCTAATTGCAGCTGTGGTGGCAGTCTGAGAGTTGACATTTACATGGGTCAGAAAAGAGTGCTTATCTTTGCATCTCAGTTAAGTGAGGATTGTAAGAAAACTCAAAATTATTTTCTGGATGTTAACAGTTAAGGACTATGCTTTGCAAGAATCTATATTCTGTATCTTCCAACTATAAAAAAGAGAACTATCAAGTAAACATGGAGATGGATGTCTATGAGATGAAATAGGTAATAAACATACATAGTTAAATATAGTTAAAATTATTTACTGTGTGACCATAAAAGATGTTTTTTTTACCTGGCAAAGTCCTGTAAATTGGAGCATGGAGAACATAATAGCAAAGTCTTACTGAAATCAAAAGGAATGGTCACAGTCTTACCATTAAGCATGTCTTGATGCCAACATATTGTGATGGATTCAGCCAGAAAGGTCAACTGTGCTGTTACTGTATGCATATAAAGTATTAAAAAATTTAGAGTGTTTGGTGGTTGGTATTCTATCAGTTAGTGGCTTTCTATTGCACGTGGTCTTCATAAGAACAAATTGATTTGTGTCTTAATGGAATCTGAAAAAAGTAAAAATTCGATTAGAGTCAGTTCTGCTTAGTAGAATGTAACACTAATGTGTTCACTTGCTGTTAATTTAATGAAAGCAAAACAATTCTGGTAATCTCAATAAGTAGAAAATCTGAATAATTCTTTGTTTTGCCTTTTTCCCAGATTTTGCTTGTTTTTTTTCCTTTTTCCCAGATTTTGCTTGGTTTGTGATCATTGAACCTAGTGTGTTCCATGAAGTAGTAAATACTTACTGTTTGAAAAGATTTCTAGTGTAGCTGTAATGCCAGTAGTAGCTGCCACATTGGTGGCTAGTTGCAGAAACTCCACATACATCCTGCAGTTCTTGATATATTAGATGCAATGTATCATTCGTATTGTTATGCTACCTTGCATGAAGAAGTAGTAATGAAAAAGCATTTGAACATTTAGTATCTTTAACACTGGGAGGCTGTGGAGGTGATTGTAGAAGTTCCTTGTGGTTTTGGTTTTGGTTTTGTTCCCTGGATCATAGGCTAAATCTGCTTTACTCGTCCCTTGCCATTGGCCCCGAGTTCCCAGTCTGCTTTATGGTCACATAAATGCCGATGCTTTTCTGCAGTGTTTTTCTGGTTTTGTCTTCCCCTATTTCTTTCCGTAGTTGAACACTTCGCTCCCTATAAAGGTGTTCGGTTTTATTATCATATATTGTCCTAGTTTCTGATAATCTGGATGTACTTAACAGCAGGAGTCCCAAGTTTGTTTGCAAAAGTGAGAAGCCCCAGCCATTCTGATTCTGTGATGCCATTACAAATATTTTATAGTGTGTTGAGCAGAAAGGGATACAGGCTGCTTCATTCCTTCACACAGAAAGATGTGTGGTGACTTGGAAACATGGACAGTTAATATTTAATGTGTTAATTGTTTAATAATGTTGGTTCATGATGTCAGATCCTGTGCGTGAACCACTTCATGATTATTACCTTTGAGGATATGTTGCCTGTGATTAATTGTTCACATAAGCAGAAATACAGGTAATGTTTCTGGACATATTGGATGATGTCTGAACATTGTGATTGAGCACATTTTGAAGGAATTGTTAGTGTTATTCTTTTTACATAAAAATGCAAACAAACAATACTTAGCTATCATATTTTCCAGGACTGTTATGAAACTTAACTTTATAATCTTTCAAAAAAAACTTTGAAGAATGCAAGTTCAGTGTAATTGTAGCAGTACAGGTAAACTGCATATCGAAATTGCTGGAAACAAAGGAGTATGGGGAAGACATTTTAGATGTGATTGAAGATCCAAGAAGGCTTCACGAATCATTTTATCAAATTTATTTAAAGAAAACTCTACTTACATAACCATGTTAACTTTTTAAGAAATGTAATTCCAGATGGGTGAGTTGAGTAAATTGAAATGTCTGTGGTTTGTCTTTACTCTGAAAAGAGCTTTGAAACATTGTTGCACAGAAAGCTCAAAGAGAAGCAGAAGTAATATTGGCTGGGTGATAGTAATAATGATGATAATACCAGTAGTGGATAATGTACAAGTGACAGATAAGCTAAAATTAATTTTTATCAGTACTGTTACTTCTGGATATGTGAGAAGCATCAACCAGAATCCTGTATGATTTAGCATTAAGTTTCATATTTATATATCCATTAATGACATGTAGAAGTACACAAATTGAACAGTGATATAATTTTCAGATTACTATAGCTAAGAAATTTGATAAATACAGGGACTCTTAAATCAGAAGTATAGATGGGTATGTAAACTTAGGAATTTGGTTGGGCAAATATGAGGTGAGAAATAATGTAAAGAAGAATAAGATAACAGGTTGAGGAAAGAATATCCCAGACAGACATAAACCAGGAAATCTTTCACTAGAATATAATTATGAATAAAACACTTTCTGCATCATTTCATTATTAAGAAACTGAAAATGAATTTTAAATTCAGTACCATGGCAGGCAAAGACTGATTTGATTTTGAAATTAATATCTGGGTACATAGTTGAAAATTTTGTGGTAAAATCTGCTGCAAACTTCACAGGATAGCTGTCTAACTGAGCAGGTCCAGAAGGTAAGTCATGCTGTGTGTAGTTATGATCAACCTTGGTTGAGAGAGGAAAACAACTTTAACTAAAGTCTAGGTGGAGCAAATTTTAGGAAAAGAAAGTAAATTCAGCATGTTGATTGGGACTCAAGCAACTTAAAAATGCAAGACCTCATGAAATATTGTAAAAATGTGCATTTTCAAATGTTATATTCTCAGTGTGTTTACAAGGAAAAATAAAGTACTCTTGGCTTAGGTAATTGAAATGAAACAGAAAATGTGTCTTGGAAAACTTTTTTTTATAGCAGAATTTTTAAAAGGTGACATTGAGTAAGTTGCCTGCGAGTTTTCTTGTTCTGGTGTTAGGATAAAAGAGTAATCTCACACCCTCTTGTGCTGCATATGGTGACAAATGCTAACAGTTTAATTAATCGTCATGATTGTATGTTGCTGATATTTATTTGTAGGTGGGATAGCTAACACCTCAGTTACAGTGAAGTGCTGGAAGTAATTTTCAGGGTGTAAGGAAAACTTTAGGATAAGCTGTTAAATCTGGTACTTTCCAGTTACCCTGCTTATTTCTTCTGTGGAACGGTAATTGAGTCAAGTAGGTTACTGTGTTAGAGTAATAACCACGTAGCAGGTCTGTGCTGCTCTCTTCTATGCAAGATCTGCATTCCAGCCCATTCAGTTCCATGTACTGGGCACGGGGAAAAAGATTTATTCTTGATTGATTCTGCTAGTAGAGGTACAAAATCTCTATTGCTTAGCCCAGCATATACTGCTACCATTAATATTCCATGTCATTTTTCAGGACAAAGAAGGAGTGGAGGGCGTATCTGTGGGAGCCATTCTTTCTGACTACCAGAGAGTTCGAGTTGAAGATGTGTAAGAAAATATTAATCTTTATTAATATACACATTCTGGAAAGTGCTTCACTTGTTTGTTTTCTAACTCGAATTCTGGAGCAGAGACAGTTGCTTTATTTCTCATGTTCTATGATACCCAATTCATTCAAATTGTTAATGTACCTTTAATTTTCTTTTTTCTTTTTTTTTTTTTTTCCTGGAACCATGTGTTCATTAGTAAAAATCCAGTAGAGACTATACTGGAGTTTTGGATTGCTGTTCAGGTTTCAGGTGAAAATACTCAGAGTTTTGATATCAAAATAGTTGAGTAGGTTCAGATCTTTGATTTCAACAGAAAGCCCACTCAGTTCCAGTGACTACGGTGTTGTGGTCAAGTATCTCTATTTTTCAACAGAGTTTTAATATAGAGGAACATTCTGTGACTTGTTATCAGGAATTAAATGCAAGAGAATCCTTATGTGCATATCTTCCCTTACTTCCTTAAAATCTAAAATCTGTTATCATTAATCAGGAGCTTTCATTTGTCATTTCTACTGTGCACACTCTTTAAGTCTAGATAGACTGTGATACTTTTAAGAGTCTTAATTTAAAACAGGATTATGTAGTGGGAATTGTGTGTATTTTATGAGCCAAGATTTGATTTGGGTCTGGAAATAAATTTCACTATATATGTCTGATGAAATGCAAAACCACCTTGTGTTAAAAATGAATTATAATTGCATGAGTTCATTAGTTATTTGTTGATGATAAAAGCAAATATCTGAAATCCTTTATGAACTGTAAGAATGTAAATGTTAATGCTGTGCCAACTTGACTCACATCAGCAAGTTACACAGCATGGGTGTTTTCTTTACACTTTATGTAGGTAAATTGCAGTCAGAAATAGCTTCTTTCTTTTTCTTTTCCCTTACACTTAAAACATTTTAATGACTGCCTGATCATGTTACTAGATATTTTAGAAAAGATTGCTTTTGTTGATTGTGGGTTTCAGATCTTTTACCACAGCCAAAAGATTGACAGGACATCACAGTATTTCAAACAGAGCTGATTAATTCCAAGGTCACTTGGTGGTAAAAAATTTTTACATTGATCTGTGGATCTACCCCTTGCAATAAAGTTACTTCACGTAAACCATCCCAGTTACTTAGATTCAGCTGATTTGTTAGCTAAAGTTAGCCACCTAAATTAACTACTTCACATTTAGAGTTGCTAAATATTTCTGTTAATTTCACAACTTAGTGCTTTGTTGAAATACATGAAAGTAATAACAAAACCAATCAGATTATATGGGTGCTAACTATGGATTTACATGTCAGCATTAAACATCCATTTTACTATAAAGTCTTGACACTAATACTGGTGGGTCTATCCAACATATGAGAGAAAGCCCATAGGTGGGCGAAAGCCCATATGTTAGATAAACAATAATAATTGACAAATAAATCTAATTTTTGAGTGCTCTGAGCTCATCCCATAGTTAAATGTTTTTTAGTGTTTCAGGAACTCGGCATTATACATTTTATCACGAACTGATGGTACTTGACAATTTGCAGAAGGGTTACCTATCAATAGTGCAAATTAGTGATTCTCTAATTTGATAAACAATCAAATGCTGTGTAACAAATGCTGTCTAAATATGATATGTATCAAAACAAATAATTAAATTTACATTAACAAGTTGTTACTTTGTATCACAAGCTGTATACATTTTCCTGAATTATTCTTTTCCTTGGGTGTTGATCCAAATCACAGGTTTGTTGAGTGTAACAAATTCAGCACATTTGTACTAGTGATGTGTGCCACATTTATCACTAGGTAAAGTGCCTTAGAGGTGTTCATAAAAAGCGATCACTTCCTAAGGTATTAATTGGTTTGTGTCACTAAAGGTTTAGGAATTTTCTCACGGTTTTACCTATGTTCCCGTGCAAATCTGTTTACATCAGTGAGTTACATCTTTCTTACATAGCTGAATTATAGTCAGAACAAGTTTATTTTATTTCATTTTTTTAATACTAGACTTAATGTATATACTGAAATCCAGCAATAGTAAAGTGTTGTAATTGAAATTGTAGAAGAAAAATTATTTAATGGTAGGAAATGAGAGAAATTAATTTTCTTTAGTTTTACATGAATCATACTGTGTAAAAGCATAATGCTTGGCTTTATCCAACTTTTTGTTTGTTTTTAAGATGCAGAAGGCTTAATCTTCAGCCTTTAGCTTACCTTTGGCGTCGGAACCAGGAAGTACTGCTTAAAGAAATTATATCATCTAACATTCAAGCCATAATCATAAAAGTGGCAGCTCTTGGTATGTATTCAGATTTTGAGCAATATTGTCTACTGAAACTTCCCATGGACAAATCCACAACGTAACAGAGGAAAACCAGAAATTTTGTTCTGTATTTTAGGATAAGAAATGTTAATATGAAGCAAATATTCAAAAATTACGTGGCTGATAACAGTCATGATGTCTGAATAATTAATTTACCTCTATGCAATTCATTCTTAGAGGAGACATGGACAAGCTGGAAAGTAATTCTTCCTAGTCATTAAATTCCTTTTGTAATTTTTTTGTTCTAGTTTGGTTTTGATTTGCAGTAAAGATGCATGCATAATTGAGTGGTTCACAGTATTGTCATTTATAGATGATGTAGACTGGTGGCTAGACAACATTATAAAGCGACCATGAAAGTTCTAATAGAAATACAACAAATTAACATCAAACAAGATGTAATTATATGAGGCTGAAACATTTTGTGTAACAACAGTCCTTGAGTTGGTAAAGGATATAGCAAACAGAAATAGTTTGTCATCAAAAAATGGTATTTACAATGTGGTGGTTTAGTATACTAGAAAAATCAACATGTCTCTTCATTGTCAAATAGGTAAAATGAGGTCTGTATAATGAAGCAAATCAATATGAAAGATAACCTGTTTGTTTATTGTTTGAATGTAAACATAAGGTCAAATGAAGTTTTATAGGAAGGCTTATTGAATGACGTACTCTATAACCCTAAGAAGCACATGTGAAACGTGTTAATGGTACAATATATTCATTTCAGGCCTCTATGCAGCTTTTCATTTAAGAGTATCAAGTGAGGTCTTAAGCATAAAGTGTGACCAAAGGACCTTTTCTTTTTGGCTCGACTATAGATTTGCAGTCCATTGTACCAAAGAATGGCTAATATAATACAAGAGCGTCAGTGGTGTCAGTGGTTAAAGATGTATGTTTAAAAAATAGTGGTGTATAATCTTGCATTAGAAGTCCAATGGCTGGTTTATCTGGGCAACTTTCACATCAAATTCCTAATGTCTGTCTTCTTTAAAGAATGCTTTATAACCAAGTAGTTTCTCCTTAAATATTAACCAAGAATTGAAATATAATCCCTTTAGACTGGATGAATTCCATGACTTTTTTTTTTTCCTTTAAATTAATTCTTTATTTTTTTAGTTTATTTGTTCCTCTTTAGCTGGTATAGTTTCTAACTAGTTTTTACATTATCACTATGATGGTCTCGCTGTATTTTTCTCTAGGATGTGCTAGGGCTGCTAGTGGGATTAGAATGATTCGAAATACCACATTCCCTCATTCACTTATAGGTAACAAGCAGTGTAATTTAATAGTGTTTTCCTGAATTTTGGAAGGCCAGTTGCAACTACAGAGGTGTTGAATGCTGTTTTTTCTACTATAAAACACTTCTTTAAATTGAGGAAAAAAAAATCATTTTTAAGGGAATAGTTTTCAGGCCATGTGAAGTACATTTTTCTATTTATGTTATTTTTCCATAAAACAGAATGCATTCATTGCTTATGCTGACATGAAGGAAAAATAAAAGTCCACAAAGAATATGTAACATACTTTTTCACATGAGAATTATTTTTTGAAGAAAATATATGATTTAAATAGTAGATAAAACTGTTTCACAAGTAGACATCATTGATGACGTGTCGTGTGCCTTAAGCAAGATAAGCTTGTCTTTTGTATTCTCCAGTCTTAAAAAAACTTAAAATGCACTAGTTAGTGCACAAAGGGTGCTTTGTGGGCTATTCATTGAAGGAGCGAATACCATAAATACTTGTAGATAGCAATTAGATAGAAAATCACTCCGAGTTTTTTTTTTCCTTTTTATTTTTGTGGCTACAGGTAAAAGAAAGATCTTATCAGAGTCAATTTCTCACCTGCCTCAGGCAGACGTAATTAGATGTAAGCAAATTTAATGGAGCTTGTGTTCTCTGGGGCCATTCTGTAATGCTTTAATAATTGCATGCCTTATTAAAGTGGATTTAAGGTATGAAGGCTGTTTAACATATCAAGTGGCAAAGAAGATAAGATACATTTTAACTTTTTGCCTCTTAGATGAATAATCAAAGCTAAACTGCAATGAAAAAATTTAAAATAACAGATTTAAGAGTCTGAAGAGTAATGCATTAGATGGCACATTGTACAGATGTTAATGTAAGAAGCAAATCTGTAACCTGAGCTTGACATTCATCAGTGCTGGCATACTTGTACACCCGCCTTGTCCTGTTTTCCACTAACTCAGTGCCAGTATTGGCAAGGTAAAAGCCTGTAGTTTTATGTAGAAAACACACAATTATGCAAGTAAATGAGCATTAGTTTAGTACATTTCCCTAAATCCACCATTACAAATTAATATCATAAACTTTGCCAGTGGCAAGAGTTTTCTATCTCGGAGTAGTGTGCTTTGCCAGATGCAATACCAAAGGCTCTCACTTACATGCAAAAGAAGTATTGCTAGCAAGCCTTCTTCACCTGTCTTTTGTTGATCTATAAGTAGATCAGGTTCCTTTCCTTTAGAGTCTATTTCAGAGGGTTTAATGATGAGAGAAAAACATTCCATGATCTAGCAGCAAACTTGAACTATATAAAAAAAAAGCTGCTTATGCATATTTATCTTGAGTGCCATTTTCTTGCTGCGAAAGATGCCTGTATGATGCATGATACTTTTGTATTTGAAATATACCCCTCTTCAGTGGAAATCCCAGAAAGTCAGAATGAGGTTACTCAGCAATAGCTAAAATAGAAGCAGTTATTGATTGTTTTTAACATGTGTGTGCCTGAAATTCCAGTAATATCGACTGCTCATGTGAGACAATGTAATATAGCACTCTGTAATATAACAGAGACAGTGTAATATAACACAGTAGTAAGATGTGGCTTTGATATCCTTGCTCTCTGGACACATTTTAAAGATTAAAATACTAATTAACTTGCAGAATATGCATATAACAGATTCAACTTTTAATCTTGGTAACTTTATGTACTGGTCTTACCTGTGCCATGTTCTAAAGCAAATTGCTTCCACTGCAGGACAAGGTGTGAGAGAAGGAGGAAGGTTACATTTGGAAGGAATTTTTGGGTTCCTCACAGTATGGTCCTCAGTAAAAATTGAGCATCGAGTTTTATTTAGTTTTACTTTACTTACAGAGTTAACTATACCTAAATCTTGTTTAGAATGAACACTAAAACTTAAGTGCCACTATACATTTTAAAATATGACAAACCTCAGTTCTCACATATATAAAAATATAGCTGAATTTTTTTTTATGTCATGCAGTTAAAGCAGTTTGTCCTCAGTGATTCTAGTTTTCTTGAAGTTTTAAGAGTAATATTCACCTTCAGTAAGTTTTGTAAGTGCACATTGTTAGCTTGAGAAAGTGGCGGGAAAAATTGCTGCTTCAATGTTTCAGTCAAAATCAGAATATAAACTCAAATTTCTGTCTTTTATGGGATTAATATGCATTATTTACCTTATACATTGCAGCTTCTTCCCAGTTTGGTTATAGCAAATTAATGATTTATTATTGAATTAAATACCTGAAAAAACATTGTTAATTATGAGATCACATAATAGAAATACTAAGTTGAAAAAGAAAAACTCTTTCATGGTTAAATTATGTTTCTACCTTCTAGCTGTTCTTTGGATCACAGGAGAGAACTGATACCATGATGCTGTTCAACTGTTAGACAATAATAAAAGCTGAAACTTTGTATCAGGGCTGATTAGCTTGTGGTCCTCAGCCTACAGTTGAAGTGGGGCTCTTATGCCGTGGCTGCATCCTTTATCTTGTAGGTCCAGCTGCTATGAGTGCTTCTAGACAATCTGCATGCTCAGCCATGGGTAGAGTTGAAATCACGGGCTGTGGAAGCCTAAATTCTGAGATGGTGTGGGCCCTAGTTGCTTACCCACTCTACTTCCCTCCAACAATGGAGTAATGAGTCCTTAGGGAGCCACTGCCATCTCCTGTCTGTCAACAAATCCAAAAGTTCCTTCTCTAAAATGAGCTGTCTGAAGTATGTATATTTAACTTCAGTCTCTTTTGCTGCAAGAAGGTCTTGATGCTTGCCTTACAAGGTCAAGAAGATTGGTATACTCCTGCTGTACACAGAATCCTCTGAAAGCCTGATAGTTTAGGGATGCGTATGTTTTTGTATATGAGCTTTTAATTTAGGGAGAGGGAATGTTACTTCTCAGTATAATCAAATCAGTACCTGGAGCTTTTGTTCGTTATTTAAACCTAACCACCTAGGTGTCTGTATTGTTGTTTATTATTTGCATGCTACTAGTGTACAGAAGTGAAATCCTGACTCACTGAAATTGATAGACTCCCATTAATTTTCATGGAGGTAAGATTTACGTATATAGTACATTAAAAAACTAGCACCACACAGTTCCTGGTTAAGCTCCTAAGGGTGTAATTTAGTGTTACAGATAAACCAAGCTAACAGTCAGTCGCTGCCAAAAGGTTGATTTTTCCTTCCCCCTTCTAGCTGACTCTTCCAAACCACAAGTTTCTACTTGCTTCTGCCCCTGTAAAAGCTCCAGTGATTGTATGGCTGCAGCTGGGAGATCCAGCAGAGAAGTACTGCTTTTTTGTGT